AGTGATACCTAAAATATCGAATTCGCAGTATACCAGATGCTGCCCCAGAGATATCAGGCAGGATTTAGACATCTGGGGGCCGCTGGGACAGCCCTTTCAGTTATGTTAACGTGTTCTGTAACGTTTACTAAACCACCACCTAGTGCTAAAGAGAAATCGACGTTGAGATCGGATTGACGTTAGATTTTAGATGTTGTCTGCGGACGTGTGGCTGAGCAATGTCACCATAAATAGTAAAAGTAAAAAAAATCATGTCCACCTTTTTCACAAAATCTAAGCTGCATTCTGTTCACTTTTTATGGATTAACGTTGCTCTTATTCTTCCGTTTGTTGTCTCTTGCTATTCGTTTGATGTGAACAACACCTCCTGTGACTCATAATAGCCATAGCAAGCACTTTAAGTAGGTCGCTGATACCTATAGCAAGATACGCCCAGGTTTTTTCGATTTTTAAGCTAGGTTGAGAAACAATCTTATCAAGTAAAAAATTTGACTGGATACATTTTAGTCGTGCTTAGTATACTTATTTTTCATGTGAAAAAATTGCAGACAACTTATTTTCACAATAATGCAACCATAGGAAATTTCGTGGACTCCATTTAGCACCTATAGCAAGCCGGGTCTGCGTACTTTTCACCTGGATTGGTAATCCCTCTATTCTCGCGAGCACACAACCTCACGCAATCTCACTTAGAAACTATACTGCGACGCCTACGGCAGGTAACGATTTTCCTTACTGTTACTAGTTTCTTATTCGATGCTAGTGGGTGTTCTACAATTTAAGAGACTGAATGGAAAAATCCAGATTAAGCAAGTTGAATTAGTGGACTTGGTGTCTTCACTTGTGTAGCGGCTGGAGCCTCAGTTGTGCTGAATACGCCCTTAATAAATGTTGCTGTTTGAAAGACATAAGTCGGTGAGCGATGCCACCAGGAGATGTTCTGAGCACGGGCAGCTAAGTTCCTCTAATAGTAGGCCTACTCAATGAAGGGATGGGTGCTAAACTTCACGTTGTTAGGTGGGGGGGGCAATTAAAGGCTATATACCTGTAATTGATGATCCCATTCGTTATACCCACATATGTAGAATAAAGTGTGAGATCCTCGGCATTTTTAGCAGGAAATAGTGTTAAGTCCACTAAACTACAAATTTGTAATATATCACATATTATTGTACAATAAGCAGTTCTTCATCTTTGCGATGCGTAATTGCTTAACATTTATGGTATACGCGACAAGCGTAAATAAGACAAGCATGCAGCCACTGCAAAATTCTTCCAGAGATCGGATCCCTAACAAATCCTGACCCACCTCGCGATAGGGGCGAGGGAGGCTACGTAACGTAACCGCTCCGACGGGTTATATATACTGTAGGCCCCCAGGAGGGCTATAAACTGGGTAGGCTTCAGCCACCCCCTTTCAACGTCACCCCTAAGGGGAGTAGACTGAAACTAAGATCACGATGATATACATGTCACTGTCAGGTCGACATCAGCTTGGGAATCCAGGGCCTGTGTGAAGCTGCAAGCTGCATCTTACATCTTAGCCACGTTGCCGCCACACAAGTTGCATGGCTGAGAGCGTGTTCAAACATGCGTGCGAAACGCCTCGCCAGCCACGGCAGCCGCCACGTTGAACGACACCACGAGCGCTCCGCTTTATCCAACGATTGCTGGCGGCCCCTTTCATAGGCAGCTCCTCAAGCAGATTTAACAGTCTTGAAAAAAGCTACTGTTAAACGATCCTTAGCGACGAAATTGATACGAATTTAAATTTAGTAGTGAATGAAGGAATGAAAAATGAAATGCAGTGAAAAGATTGAATTGAAGTCGAAAAATGTAGATTCGCATTCGGCAGAATTAGCCCAGTCGCATCTTGGAAAACTTGCGTTCCTGCCGGGACCAGTCTCGGGAGCAGGATCACGCGGCGCTGACGCCGCAGTGTGTTTAGAAGGCGAGCGCACACGTCGCGTTCGTGCTTTTACACCCATCTCGGTGACAGCTTGAGACGTCACCCTGGCAGGTCCGGTTCTATCACGCAGCAGCTTTCCCCCAGTAGTGCTTTGCGTATGGTGTGATTTGCCTGGGCCATTTGCCAACGGGGCTAGTTGTCCTGACTTTTTTCATAACACGAGAATAGCCCGGTATTTATATATACATTCGCAAGGGATTCGTGCAACAAAAGCTCTACGAATTCGAAAAGAATCTGCCGTTTCAATTCGCATGCTGCGTTCGTTTCTTAAGTGCACAACCTTACATCATTGCCTACATGTTCAAGACCCTCTTGTCTCCCATGTGCTTGTATGAAATTTGTTAGTTCATTACTGTTGTGTCCTACAAAACAAACTAACATTCTAATGGTAACGCAAAGTCATCCCTAGCTGCACCATTATTGTTCGGGAAAGAGATAGCAGCAATGTTGGCATTTGCGGGAATCTGCCAATCTGCCAAACTATAGTTATAGGCTTGAGGCAGTCTGTTACGCTTCTATGGGGCCCGATTCGGCAAGCCGAAGCAAATGCAATTCACACAGCCAGGAAGCATCCCACACAAGCAAGAGCCCACCAAGACAGCAGCCAGCAGCCAGGCGATCAGCAACGCGATGTGCAAAGTCTATCTTCGCGCGAAACGTATCGATTCACTACGGGTGGACCCACGGCTGCATCGGGATATTTACCGGACAAGGTGGTGGACGCGCTACAAAGGCATCTTTCTGTTCAGATGCTGATCGTAGAGCATGAGGCCGCAGCATTCCCTGCCGGCCGAAGGCCAGCCGCTACGCTCCTCCACAGACTCTTCCGCCGCCTTGCAGCAGCCGGTGCCGACCGAGATGAGATTGCGACTATTCATCTTCATACGAACCCAGTCTCGGAACTGTGGAATTCATTGCATCCCGTGGACACAATCGGGGTAATGTGAAATTCTATTTCCATTTTCATTAGTTGACGACATATCTTTCAAATGGTAACTGTTATTCTATAAGATGTATGCGTATTTGCCTACTTGATGATGAAAAACTATCGCTAATTTTGATTTATAAGCATGCTAGACGGAATAACACGCATCCCGCTTACCTGGAGCCAAACCCTGAAAGAATGTGCGATGAGACAGAGAGGCAATAGTGGAGATGTTCGCTGAAGATGCAGAAAACTGCCGCTACGTCCAAGAAGAGTGCCAAGCTGTTAGCGACGACGTCAAGCTCGTGCCATGAGTGGCGAAGGCCAGCAGCCCCCAAACCGAGGAGTTCACGGGGGCCACGCAAGGACCGACCATCCGAGAGCCGACCCACGCTGAGGCTCCTGAGTGGATCCAAACGCGCCCACCGCGGGCGTCCACGGAGATGCCCTGCAAAAAAACGCAGCACGGTTTCAGGCCCGAGACCGTCTGCCGACCTGAACAAGCCGACATGTCTACTACTGGAGGAGGAACTGAAAACCGGTCAACCAACCCTGAGAGGCCTCGACGAAGAATCGCGTATCAACGTAACAGATGGACGGTCGCGTATACGCCATTCTCGAATCGCAACTGACAGAGAGTCGGCGGCAATCGGGCCAACGCATTTCAATCGGCTTGGCGAGCAGAGGACCACACGACGAAACACAAGATTATCAGATGTTTATGCCAAAACAAGCTCTGCGCTCTAGGAGCTATGCTCGAAAGCGCAGGCTTTACCAAGTAAGCGTGTCACACGGGCACCGGTCGACTGCACCCGCGACACGTACAGAGCATGCGACCACTCGTCGGAGAGACACCGACTCGGC